AGTCCCGGTTTCTGTGATGGGTGGAACACTAGAGCTGGGCGCAGCAGGGCCCCAGTCCCTCTGGGAAAGAACACGTTCATCCTAGACCAGGTGGGAAGGGGTTCCCCGAGGCCGTCAAAGGAGGACTGGGGTTTCTAATGCGCAGGAAAGTGGATTTCCTGATGTACCCCTGCAGACAAGCTCTAGCCCTCCTACCACAATTTCGGCTCCTCAGCTGTTGGACCCTAGAAGTGTCCCCACAAGGCTGACTGCCCCTCCTTCATCTGCACCCTGGCTGGCTCAGAGAAACCCTGCTGTCTGGGGGCAGGACAGTCTCAGGCCTGCCAGTCCCTGGCTACGTATTTCTCTGTCTGAAGTCCAGGGTCTATCTGTAAAGATGTAGATAATACATGCCCCTCTCCCTAGGAGGCTGTGAGGAAGAGACGTGGTTTGGGAAAAGTACCCGACTCACCCTAGGCTTCCTGGGGAGGGAGAAGGGCCCACTGTAGACTGTGACCCCCTTCAGTGTCTGTGGCCCAGCACCCAGCCGAGCTCTGACAGGGCTGGGGATCTTTAACTCCGTGTACAGGGCGGCAGGTGGCATCATCTTCCAGACCAAGTTGCCCAGCTAGCTGACAAGTTCCCCGGGGAAAGGAGCAGGTCTGTCTGCCCCTGCACCCCACCCCTATACAGTGCTACTCACGGTGTGGGTCCTGACTCTCAACCCTCTGCAAAAGGTTACCCATTCTCAGGAGGAAGTCTAGGAATTAGGAGGGCATTTCCTGAAACTTTCATAGAAATGTGAAACATCCAAGCAGCACCCAAGTTGGGCTTCTCTTAATTGTTGGGTTTTAAAAAAGTATTTATTTAATTTTATTATTAGGCTATTTTTAATTGGCTATAGAGCACGTGCATTCACCAGAAAAAGAGAAAAAAGTGACAAACCAAGCCGCCCGGACTCGGACTGTAGTCTGCCATGTGGGAGTCCGGTCCCTTAACCACCACACCACCTGCCATGCAGTTTTTAAATTTGTCAGATTTTCCTTCACTCATTCAGTTTAATTTTCATTTTTTTAAAGCATTGATCTGCAGTTGGATGGGGGAGAGGGGTCAAATAACCTGACCCGTCAGCACATCTGGAGGGAGAAGCTGATCTTTTTTTTTTTTTTGGGAGAGATTTTCACTGTAGGGCGCGTGCGCTCGCCAGACAGAGAGAGACATAGAGACAGAAAGCGAGAAATCACCCCCCAGGGGGGATGGTCACGCCGCAATCCCTTCTCCATTCTCCTCTCGGGATCTTGGGCACGCGCGCACACGCGCCCGGCGTGAGTTTTAAGCCACCGGGTCCGGGACGTGAACCGCGGTTGACTACGTGGGAGTCCAGCGACATAGCCATTACACTAACTGCTGGTTCCCGAGAAGCTGATCTTGACAGCAGAGGCATCATAAACCAGCTAAGCTCTCACGGAAAGGAGGAGGTGCTGCATCTGAGCTGCTTGAGAAACCAGCCGCAAGGCACGAGTCTGCGAGTTGGCGCATTTCCTTTATTGTCTCAGGCTAGAAGCTCTGGCCCCCCCTCCCGCCGCCCTGTTTCCGAGCTCCAGCCCGAGCCGAGCCTCGCAGGCACTGACTTCTCCCGCTAGGTGAGAAGTTCGCGGCCGGCACCTGCACCTTCAGGGCGGCCGGGCTCCGCGTGCCGCTTGCCATAGCGCAGGCCGAAGGAGTTCCAGTTGTAGGCCGACAAGTCCTTCTCACGCTGCACCAGCATCGCGCCCCGGGGAGCCGGGATCAGGCGGCTGCCGGCAGCGCACAGGCCGGGCCGCTGGGGACCCGCGGAGCTCTCGGGGAGCGGGCACAGCGAAGCCTCTCGGGGGCGCGGGCCGGAGCGAGCGTGTTTTCTCGGGGCGGCGCAGCGCAGGTTCTGCTCCCAGGGGGCCCGGAGAGCCAGGGGTGCCAGGCGCTGGCCTAGGACAGAGCACAGGGAGGTGAGACTGAGGGGCGAGGATGGAACGCCTGCTCACATCCCGCTGCTGTGCTTTCCCTTTGCTTGTTGACCTCCAGGAAGCTCAGCGCGAACAGGGGAAGTAGCGAGCACACCTGAGCGTGGGGCTAGGCAGTTCACTTCTCCTTCAACATAGCTGTGATTTTGAATGTTTACCAGGATTCTCTCAAATAACTTTTATATTAAATGACTTCCTTTTGGGAAGCAAACGAGGTAGAGCTTGGAAATAAAGTGCCAGGCTCCGTAGCCTAGTGGAGCCAAGTCCCATGTGGGAGACTGTGGTTGGAATCCTGCTTGGTGATTGGAAAATCGTGCAAAGCGTGTGCGCGCCCCCAGTCTGGGCGGGATGCCTGTGCACCACTCCCCACTGGGGCGTGCATTCTCCGTCTCTCTGGAGAGGGCATGCACCTGCTGGTAATTTAAAAAAGAAGGGCCAGCAGGTGGCGTGATGGTTAAGACACTGGACTCCCCCATGGTCCTCCCCGGTTTGGGTCTGGACCTGGTGGCTTGAAACCGACTGGGTGCATGTGCATGCATGCTGAAATTCCAGAAAGGAGAACAGAGGAGAAGGAATTGCAGTGTAGCCTCACTTCCCTTTCTGTCTCTCTCCAGCAAGTGCACACACCCTATGGCAAAACCTGAAAAGAAAAAATAAATAAAAATTTAAAAAATGAAAAAACAAAGAAATCCGAGGTTTTTGCTACACACTAGGCTCTGCCCCTCTCATCCTGGCTGTGGGTTCCCCGTGGGGCTGTGGGACTGAGACCTCCCCCC